TTAGCGCCGCAGTAGATATACCATAGCGGACGTCACAGTGACGTCAAACCCGCTTAAAGGGTTAAAGATTGACGAAGTACTACATATAGGATAATTACTTTGGTTCCTGAGACCTTTCTTTTCTTGAATGGGGGTGATTTCCGTTCTCTCGTCCCTTTTAAATCAATCGTTGAAAAAAGAGTAGCACCTCTTGAGGCTTGAACCCCCTTCCGAATAGAGAAACTTCCCCCATTGTGGGGCGTTCAAGCCTCGAGTAGGCCTTATACAGTTTTCTCGCCTTTCATCGATGTAACGTTATAATCGGGTCTACTTTTATATCAACTAGAATCCTCTATTGGAAAGTAAGGTCTGATGCAAAATGTCTGCCTGCATCCACCTGGACTGCTTACGGCAAGGTGGATAGGAGGAGGAACCAGGTGGGAGTTACGGACAGAATCTCGAAAGACGGAATCTCGAATGGACAGAATCTCGAGAGACGGAATCGCGACCTTCATATTCTCCAATTCAAGCATTTCAACTCATAATCTCGAACCAAAAGCATTTTGGAAGTTCTTTATTATCAGTTTATTATCATTATTCAATTGAACAATTTAAATTCAATGTATAATACTATTAAAAACTTCTCATATATGACATGACCTAATAGTCTATATTATGTGCAATTCCTTCGAGGTATGAATTTAAGTGGCGCTGATAGTTCTCAGACACAATTTTCTTGATTTATCAGTTCTTTATTATTATTATCATTATAATCCTTTGCATCCCGACTTGACCTCGACGCATCTCCAGTGTATGGTCCCATTGCTTCCAAGCGAATCGCGTTCATAAATATACCCGTTTGGAACGAGCACTTCATTTCCTTTCTGACTTTTGGCAAACTTGGCCATGATCTTGAATTCCTGATCGAAATCCTGACTGAGGTGAGGCGTCTGCACGCTTTTATTGGAACATAGATGCGGAGATACCTCCAGCCACAAAAGTCGACCGCGGGTTAAGGATTAACGGGGATTAGAAAGAGGAACTGGCAGGCATCACTCGAAATGAAATGAACACACATTATCGGTTTGCAAACGCTCCAGACAACGGCATCTTACTTTCCTTCCCATTCTCCACAGGGGGCACGAGGGGAGTGTCAATCAATACTTGACTCGGGGCTTGTCTAAAACATAGAAGATTTTCTCACGTGATCCTTAGTAAGGAGCTCCACCATTCAGCCTTCCTCCGGATCAACGCGTCCCATTTCTCCGAGATAATTGCAGGTGACCGGACATTCTCATGTTAAGCTTCACATGTCGCACTTCAATTATCCCATTGCCATCGGAGTGTGTCCAAAGCATGGGTTAAGTAGCAACATAATCCCGAATTTCCTTCTTTATGTTCATGTTTTATTACGTTATTAATCATTTATACCCTAGTACCACATAACATTAAATCAATGTTGATTCAATGTTATGTACTACTAGGGTATATCTCGTATTATATATCAAGTGGGCATTTGCGCGAACTTTTGCAGGTATGGGCTTTTTTCTGTGGACGATTTTCGTGTATTCGATCGAGAAAATGGAATTCGAGATTCCGTCCATTCGAGATTCTGTCCGCATACCACCAGGTGGATGTCTCACCTGGTCATTCGCCTACGTATGCTTTGAACCAGGTGGATTTTTCCCCTGGGTGAATTTTTAACCAGGTGGATGTCTCTCTAGCAGGTGGAATCATGCCAAAAGGGTCATTCACCTGGCACCAAATCCACTTGGGTGGACTTTTTTTTAAAGGATTATCTTTGTTCAAGGCATCTGTCCACCATTGGAGTGAGAAAAAGACGGAAATCTGAAAGACAAGAGGTGCCGTCAACCATGGAGACCTTCAAATGAAACAAGTGTGGAGATCCGCATCCTTTATGGCGTTTCCTCGGGATTATTTTTTTTTTTACAGTGATGATAGAGTGGGATAAAGAGTAGATGCATGGAACTTTATTGCGAATTGTCAGTGGTTGAGTGTTCGTCAAGGACATGCCATCAATTCCAAGCTTGTTTCTAACATGAGAACTCATTGCATGGATCCAAGGAGAGTTTTTATTTTAAATTGATTCTGCCTGTCATTAAATGGATTCTGCTCGTCATCTTTCGTGATAGGAGGAGACAGGATCGCCGAGTATAAAAAATGTAGCCACATTGGAATAGCATGTTCTCAGCATGACAAGATTTATCCGGATTTGTGCCTGGGGAGGCTCCTGTTGTACTAGATCATCTTTCAAAAGTTGGCCCGATGTTCTTTCAGCTGCTACTTAGCCCCAAAATTGACTAGCACATTTGCATCGGCTCTCTCTACAGCATATCTCTCAAAGGAATGCCAAGCGAGGAAAGTAATGCCTTTATTTTAAATCAAGGCCTTTTCTCTTTCTCCTGACACGTTGCTTTCGTTATGTTTGGACAAGTTTTATCGAAGCAGAAATTGAGGAAAACCAGGTAATGAGAAATGATATCTGCTGGATTCTCATCTTCCAGGGTCATCTCAATCTGTGAAATAAATGTTACAATTTACAATTATGAAACGTCGACAGGGATTTCTAATTTTGACACCCAGAGTCATTCAATGCCCTTGGCTTTTCTTTGTACCCCTGTTCTTTCTCATCCATTCCACAGAGTGCCTAATTTCATGAAAAACTGACTAAAGTTGTAATTGTAAGGTGTAAATAAGGGACAGATCATTTATTCTTTTTGGTGTGGTTGGTCATATTAAGAAATTATTTTCTCCGTGCTTTCTTTCAGATTGACTTCAAACGATGGACTTTGCGCGTGTCCACATCGTCCAAAGAGTCTATTTTCTGAATTTCCAAATTACCATTACTAAAGTTCATTCCTTCTTTTCGTTAAGATTACTGGGAATCTTGCAGGATATATGAGTTGCAGGAGAACGTGCGTCGAAGTCGCTGCGATAAAGGTCACAGTTGGAAACAACTCCGTTTGTACCATGGTGTAGTTGGTTTCCTCCAGCTACCCTAAGACGTTATCCTGACATCAATATGACAAATATACGAGATTTCGTGGGATTCACTGATTTAGTCGGCGATGCACTTGCAGCTATTTACAAAAGAGCAGTACCAATTTTTCCATCCTGGGATATTGGGCACATGTGAAAGAGAGTATCAAGAAGAAGCACGCCCGATACAGTATTAGCAAGCCCAATGTGAAACTCAGTGATAGAGATCAACCAAAGCCTAAAAATGTTAAAATTGCGTCTATGGGAAATGCTGGTGCCGTTTGAGAGGATCAATCGCTTGCAGACTTTTTCTAAAAGCAAGAGAATACCCCTCCCCCTCCAAGATTAGAGAGGATTAGCGAAGTTTCCCTTTTCCTCAGGTACCTTAACCCTTTTAATACTACGTGGTCGATCCATAGGCTCGATCCACTTTATATAATTTCCCGTGGCACTGAATGGGTTAACATCCCCCACAAAACATGGCAGGTCCCCATGTTAGTCTGGCTATGCATGCGAAAAGTATCAATGAAAATAGAACCAATCGAATTGCACATAATTCTACGTGCACAATTGCACTTCTTTGTGACGTGTTCCTGTGGGATTCTAGAACACTTGGATCTAACGTGAAATCTCGAGAGAGTGTTAGATTTTGACTTTTTTATTTTGCCAGATTTTCTGATTGAGCAGACGTGCCGATATGGAGCAATTCACCATATATTCCTTTGAAGAGTTAGATGGAAATGGTGGTCTACAGTATATACATATAAAACTGACTTTCCCCGTGAGTCCTTTTCATCAGGAACCAAGTACCGTTAAGAAATTCTTCGCAAACTTGATTACACTGTCAAACATAGGACGACAAGTCTGAAGCACATATTGCGTGTGGAAGGAAAAATGGATGGAGCAATTGCACGGGCGTCATAACCCTTCAGTTTGTCATCAAATCATTAAGTCGCTGTCATTCCCAAGAATATCAGCCTTACATAAAAGCAAAAATTTTGCGAAACATGCATTTCTTTTAGTCACGTTCAGGAAAATAATGCATGCGATCATAGGCGCTTCAAGTTTCTTGGGGTGGGAGGTCAATCATTAACCATCCCCTCTTCCTGCCTCCTCTCAAGATTAAAGAGGATTAACGAAGGTTCCCTTTTCCTCAAGTGCCTTAACACCCCCACGAAACAGAGTAAACCCCCAAGTTGATGCAACTTTGCATGTGATTTGCTTTCGTAAGGGACGTCAATTTATCACATAAACGCAATATGAAAAAAATTCCGAATAATGCTGATTTCTCTTATCAGAGTATCCTGCATGCTCATACAGGGCATGCTTATATAAGTCTTCCTCTCAATGCTCTCTTTCCGATGCATCTTACTTGTTTCAGGGGACATACCTTTACATAGACGACTGAAGCTAAAGTTAGACTCTCAGATATACTCCCTAAACAAATTATATTCAGTGCTTCAAGGAATTTGATCCAATATGCATCTCCGCAAAAATAAATCTCACGGAACGTAGATGGGCCAGCATATAAAAAAAGCATCTAAAATGCTTGCATTAAAAGGCTCTTACGTTAAAATTTACAACTAATTGCAGAGCTATGTCTTGATCATAAGAACAGCAACTTGGCCCTTTGTGTTGCAGTTGAGATTTTGCCATTTTTCTTACTGAAGTGAATTTGAATGTTGGATGGGGCAAATCAAGCTTTCATGGACGAGATTCGTAGATTCCCCATGTACAAGTGTATGTCTCAGTATCAGTGCAATAATCCATACATCCGTAGTTACAGATGTGAAAGTGTTTCCTGAGACTTTCCTTATTACCAGCGGATCATTTCAAGCAAGTATACAGTTTTCATACAAATTTTGAGAATACCCATTCCGTTTGCTAAGAAAATTTTATTGAAAAAATAGAGGAGCGAAGGATGTGCAAAGCAATCTAAGACAAAAAAAATTGTGGAGCTGCGTTGTTCATCAGTTGTTCAAGGCGAATCGTGACGTTCTCTGGCGAGCCGTTATGAGAGATCAGCCGTAGAAGCGTCCGCGTCCCCCACCGAATCCACCCCTCCCATAGCCACCGCCGTATCCTCCCCTCCCAAAGCCGCCACCACCATATCCTCCACGCCTTCCTCCGCCGAATCCGCCGAATCTCTGAGCTTCACCTCCAAGGGCCATGCAGAGGACCAGGAGAACGAGAGCAGCCAACAGTCCGAAGAACTTCATCCTGAAAGGAGAGAGAAAGGATTGACATATTTTCGGAGAAAAAGAATATAGGAGGGAGGCAGGAGCCATGTCGACTTGGGTGGGCTGTGACTGTGGCTGGGTCGCACCTTCGTTAGTTTCATACGCCATTTTTAAATAGAGCATTTTTTGCTAATGTATTCAGTAAATTTCCAGACGACTGAGATTTATATTGTAGAAAGGTACGAGTGATTCTTCTATAAATATCGCAAGGATCATGATATTGTTGATTGTTGATCCCGCTTATATCTTAAAATTCAATACGAGCCTCTGAGCGTCTGATTCCTTCAGCTGGACCTCACTCAGTATACTTTTGTGGCCTTGATAGAGAAAAAAGTACAGAACAAGGTACCAGCACAATTTCATTTCAGGTCAGAAAGAAGACTATAAAATACGTCACATTACATTATGACATTAGAGATTTGGTCTTTGTTTTCAAGTGTTCATGCTAAGTAATATTTACTATAGGAAGAAAACCATTTCACAAGAAATAGGCAGACCTATGATTGACTTTGCGCTCACGTAGAAACGAACGAACGAGGGAACTGGTGGCAGTTCATTTTTGGACCATAGGATACAAAAATCCGCAATGAAGAGCCGATCACAACGAGATCGGGAAACAGACAGTGATGTTCATTTCCTTTAAAAATACTCACGTGATCGGTTGAAGTGGATGAAATGCACTTGTGTGGAGTGGGTCGATAGCTCAGCAGGCTAGATGCGAGTAGTGACCATGAAGAGCATCGGCCCCTTTTATAGTGAACCCCTTTCAAGGTCTTTCCCTGACGCTAGCCAATCCTTTGCAGGGAGTTGAATTAGAGATAAAGGATCCTTCCCCGCTCCACTGGTTCAACATTGCGTGGAAAAGAAAAAATAACCCTTAGGGGACTGTAAAGGGGGATTCCCACTCCTCCCGGATGTGTCGTAGTGGAATTTTGCGATACAACGTATTACACGACCTTGATTCTATGAAACACTCCCCTAATTTCTTCTTGTGAGTCTCAATCGGGGGAAAATTAGAGTGAATCGTGTGTAGCGTGCAGACTGTACTAGGACTTTTTTTTAAAATATATATTCCAAGTAAAGACCATCAGAGTAGTTGAATTACCTTGACCTTCACGCTCAGTCACGCCATGATGCGCTCGCAATGAAACCTCTTTTAATGGAGGGATCCGGGAAAAGTGACGCACAGTCATGATAAATCGAAGTGTTTTCGTCTATGAGCGATTTGCATTTAGCAGAAATACGCTTTCGGTACGAAAGTGTCATTTTGAAGTTTTGAAGGAAGCAAATATTCTAGTCATCTTCCACGCGGAAGGACTGTAATGACGTTTATTCCCATTTAAAGGTAATGGGTGGAATTCGAAATTCGTTGGTGGGAAAGTTTTCCTCGAAATCGAAAGATCGGAGGACTGAATTTGGAGCAACATCGAATGCATTACAGTATTTTCAGTGATTTGCAAATTAGTTCGTATCGAATTCAGCATTGTGCATTTTATTTCTATGGTGGATGCAAGCGGGCGAGGATATATACCCATGAAAAAAGCGACAGTTATCCGATGGAGCTCATGTTAACAGTGGCACGAGTTCCTAGTAAATTCCATAGTAAGTTATACTCCTTCTGAAGAAGCAGTTGACGGGCAGCAGGGTGCGTAAGATAGAAAATACTGCGAATCTTAGTTGGCTTTGTTATTAAAACTTCTTGTGGAACGTAATACAAGATACATTTTAGTCTTTCCATGTCATCAGTTGTTTTTGGGGAAAGGGAAATGGATTGTCAATTGCCTTGCAATGCACGTGGGTGAGGTCACAGGTACTCTAGTCTTGAATATATGCAGAGTGGGAGAAAATTTACCAATAATTTCCAATATAGTGACCGCGCTCCACTTGAGTGGATCGCATCAGAAGTCACTCCGACCTGAAAAATCGAGCTTCACATGTCAAGGGGAATGTAGTCACAATATTGGAAACTTGTGGTTGAAAGTTCCCCCCCCCCCCCTTTCCATGAACTCCAGACTTCCATTTGATTCCAGTCATGAACGGCGACCTCCGGGAAAACGCTATGGCAGCCCAGATGGTCAAAGCAACAGATGGCATGGCAATGAAGAACATCCAGAAAAACGGGCGCTGTGAGGGACTGAAACATTGCTTCAAGTAATTATGAGACCAAAATTGCTCTTTCTTTATAAATGACAAATGGGATGACAGATCATTTGATCACCCCACGTGATCCTCAGGAATTACGCGGGAAAGACAGAAATTCCACCTCAAACCACTCTAGAGCGCTATTGCTCTAGAGTAGTGGTTCCCAATCTTTTTTTTTATTTGCGGCACACATAAAGACACTTGAACTTTCCACGGCACACCCAGCCATCAATGGGTACTTTCAATATACTTTTTTCACATACTTTCAATGGGAAACTTGTGCTTGCTTCGCTGAACATAGCAGTTTGATACGAGGCGTGATAGTGCAACTCTAAGCTCGTTTTCCACTGAGAGACGACTTTCCCTCTTGCTTTTAAAGTTTTTTTAGCTTTTAAGTTTTAAGTTTTTTTTTGTCAACTCTCAAATCTCACGGCACACCTAAGCCTTTCTGGCGGCACACCAGTGTGCCCAAGCACACAATTTGGGAAACACTGCTCTAGAGTGGTTTCGAATAGGAGCCAAGTAGTGGATGATGGATCATAGGATGCGAGCTGACACCATGTTTCTCTCATGTCACACCAATCTCTTGCACTAATACACAGTTCATGCCTTCCAGTTTAGTGCGGGGGATGGAGGAATGTACACGAGAGACACGTGGTGTCATTTCGCATCCTACGACCCGTCATTCGCTATCCGGTACCTATTTGCGATTCGTTAGCTCACCCCTAACTAAAAACTCACTAATGGAAGATTTCGTACTTCCCATGTATGCTCTCGAGTTATGCCTTAGGGAGACGCGTTCAACATTGGTTCACGTGACCTAATGTAACGTCTTCGATTGAGTTTATTCTGTTTCCACAGAATCCCACAAAATTAAAAATATTAATAATAATATTATTATTTACTCGCCAGTCGCAAAAAAATCACAGTTGGATAACAGGAGGTAAGGTACAAATAGTCAACAACAGACCAGAGAAAAAGACAGATGAACCACTCTGAATCGAGGGCTTGAACCTGAACAAAGGAGGATAAAAGGAAAAGTGCACAATGAATTAAAATATTTAAAAATTGAGAAGCAGGAAATGAAAACAAATGACGAAATGAATGTCAGCTATGAAGACGAGAAGGAGAATGAAGGGAAGAGGGGAGGGGGGACAGCGAAAGGAGGGAGGTGAAGACCAACAGACCAAAATCAAGTCTATTGCCTGTTACAAACATGACGCTGCGAAGAGTAGTGCAGGAATATTGTGACGGATGAGGATGGCATCGAGAGGCTCGACTGAATGTCCGGGGTTCGGTGATGAAAAGGTAGCACACCCGACCGGCAATCAGGAGGCCCGGGTTCAATTCCCGGCCGTTCCTTGGCTTCTTTCGACCTCTCATGCCTTCCGTCGTCCGTCTCTCCAATTCCCCTCCGTAACAATATCATCAAGAAGTGGGTCATCCCTCAGAGAAACGATCCGTTACGAGAAAGTCATTTAACACTTCACTGAATTTTTAATGAGGAATTTCATGCATTGTAAGCTGGTAACTTGTTCCTTAAGACCACACCTTCGTAAAGAAGGAAGTTTTGGGCTGTTTAAAAAGATGGGATTTTCAGAATTGCTCTGCTCGCTAGATTAGTGCAATCGTGATTGAATTGGAAAATTAACAAAAAGCAAGAATTTTTTTTCTTCTGAGGTACATATTCTTTTAGAAGAGCAAGAGGTCGTTTTCGACAGCACTTTCGATGGGTATGATTTTTTTTTCAACCGTTCATGGAAGGAGAGGATTCTATTAGGAACTGAAGATAACTGATCAGTAGCCCTTGCGAAAGCACGGAAAAAATTTAAGGCAATGATTATTGCTATTAACGAAAAGAAATGAAGAAACTAATCTGGTAAAATCTTTTTTTTTCACAACTAAATTAGTAAGAAATTAATATCATAGTTACTGTCCTAGATCCTCACTAAACAGTAGACACTCTCATCTCTTGAGTCGTCCGGTCCGTTGGCTATTAATGACCATGCATATTAAGCCACTTATCTCTCCAAAACGTGATATGGTCACATACAGTTGGCCATGTGAGAAGACAGGGCGTGGCGAAAGCACCCTTGATTTCTCGAAGGTCTGCCCTGCGCTTTGTAAATCGTCATGGCAAAAGGATCAGGAACTGACGTCGAGTGACGACGAAGGGCAGCCCAAACAATAAGGCTCGTTTGCTGAATTAACTTTGAATCGTCACTTTGTAGGCTAATGTGGCATGTGGACTTTTATCGATGATCTCACGCTGCTCTCCGGACATCGCAACGTTTCCGAATGTTAGTGGCCCTGGCCTATTGCCACGCTGCATGTACCTATTGCTACACCTATAGTAATAGGTTCGCGCTGTGCGCGTGTGTCATATGTGCGCATGACACACATGACACAGACCACGAACCACAGAATACTTTATTATATAGATTTTGAAAAGATTTGAACCTTGAGAGGGTCAAATCATTCAAGTTAAGAAGTTTAAGTTAAGAGGAAGTTAAGAGGAATCCACCCTGGAATTCCGTATTATAAATAGTCGGACGCGAGCACCTCAGAGCTTTCTGAAAATCATTATATTGTATCCGCCATAATGACAGAGAATATAAAAGAGGACTTGCTTTGCATGGCAGGAGATGTGCTGGACACGCAAGGATCGAGGATTAATTCAGTCTGCTGTTTAGCAAGATTCCCATATGCATACACCATTCTAGAAATACGAAGAGGATGGCATCATAATACGGGGTGTCCTCAAAGTCACGTAACCCAGGACCGTAAAATGTATTATAAATGAATGAGGGAAGGTACAGTGACGAGGCTAGTCTTGTTTGGAAGCTGTAGTTACCCTTTTGTATTTTTATATGCACAACAAATCAGTGACATGGTATAGGAATTAGTGACATATAAACACTCAATCTATTTCAGATGCATTTCCGATTTTCGGAAAATCATGTTTG